TCAGTTCGTCTTTAGTGCTACAAGGAGTTTTGTTGATCTCTCGCTCAACTGTGCCCCACACCTAATAATCAAGGCAGTTGCGGTCTGGGAAGATAGGTGCCGGATTTAAGGGATGATGTGGTCGCAGAAATTGTCTGACAGCTACGTGTGGCATGGTGCAGAGTCCTGTTGCTCATTATAGTGTCTTTCAGAAGCCATTCTCTTGACCAAGGACAGCTCTACCTCTGTGGATATTTGTCTGATTGACTTGGAAGGATCGTTTTCAATTATGGCCTGAGTCTCAGCAACAAATTCAGGACTTCTTTTCTTATCAGAATGATCCGAGATGGTTTTCGGAGCAGCCGTACATTCGTAATCTTCATTAGACACATACATCTCTTTCCGAATCCTCTACTCTGTCCTCAGATTGACACCCAATCAATCTTAAATGTTCGGATTGGAACTTCCGGCACAAATGTCAAGCAGTACAGCATGCCGTTTCTAAATGTATCGCAGAGAAAACTGCGTCGTGGTGCTCTTTATGTCAACTGACATCGCTGGACAGAATACTCGACAGAATAAAAAAGCAACAACGCGCATGCGCAAAATTAGAAATAAAATATGGCGACAATTTTCCTATCATACCATATATATATATATATATATATATATATATATATATATATATATATATATATATATATATATATAAAAGGCGGATGTGTGAGTGTGTGTGTGCGTAACGAATTCACGGGCCGCAATTTTCGACGGATTTGCACCAAAATTTACATGCAAATGCTCCAAGTTAGTGGGAAGGCCAAGACCGACGTTGCATTTCCCAACTCCCATCGATAGTGGAAATAATCCATTTTTTCATGCTTCTACGGCGGTTTTCATGTAGTTTGCGGCCATTTCGCACTGGCCAGAGTGAGAGCCAATAGCTGGCTGCCACGATTAGGCAGGGAGATTCTATTAGCCAGCGTGAGAGCCAACAGCTGACTGACATGAATGCTAACTAGCATGCTAACATGCAAAAAAAATCGATAGCTGCATTCGTCACAAGTGGGAAAAATTTAAATCTGCATTGCACTTTACTCCAATTGGCTCATTCGCTTGCTTTAACTCAACGTTGATTCTGATTCTGCAGAACTGGGTTGTGTGTGAAAAAGTATTTGTTGTTAACATTCTTTTTTCATTCGGTTTTTCCAGTTA